CCTTTGTTTCCATAATTGGGACTAGCAATTTGGCATGTGGTAGCTAGGTAGCTGTTGGTTTTAGTCTCTTGTGGGAGGGAATGATGATATCTGGATATATCTTTAGTGCTCTAAAACTGACGATCAACATTCATATGGGATACATGAAAGAGGAAGATGTTTTCAAATGCTCATCCACCCTAGACACTACACTGCCTGTGGACCCTTATAATTGGTTGGCACATGTGAGACAGGCTGGCCTTGGGATTTGCAACGTGCATAATGCAATCATTTTCTAGCCACCCAGCAGATACTGCTGAGCTGCCCGTGTATCCATATTTGGATGAAATCCAAGCACACTGAAATCCATCAAGAAAAGTGGCAGCTGCTACTGTAATGCAAGCCAATAAGAGAAAGCTTGCCATAGCAAGCAAGAGCATCCATTGAGATGGTTGCGAGAAGTATTAGTGAGATCAAAGCATTTTAGAAACCCATAAATATGTTCCAAAGATTGTCAACATCCTGTCCTTAATATCCACAAGAATAGACATTACAGAGCATCAGGAAGTTCTCTTTCTATATCTTTTCATATATGAATATATGAATATACATTCGGCCAAAAAAGGAACTGGCATAAGACTGTGGATAGAATGTGAGATTTATGCATTAATGCATATTTCTGATTCTTTTGATTACTATTATACACAACCAAGCAGGAGCTCTTGACTTGACTTTTTTTTTAAATGTCCTCTTTGCTAGATCCCCTGACTCTAATATTTGCTGACTTTTCTGCATCTTGGACCTCAGGGTGATATTTTGATCTTGGTTTTTATCCAAAAATGCCAGATACATTGAAAAGGGTAAATCATGATAACCCAATGTACAGTATATCATCCAGTTGTGAACTTCTTCCTCTACATCTCTGAGGATGCAGTACCTTTTTAATCATGCTATTCTTAGGAATTTCCTTATTTAAGGCAGGGTCACAGAGTTTGATCTCTTTTGTCTATTCTTATGCTGCCCTGCAGTATGTGGACAATCCATAAATGGCATATACTTTTCTTGTCTGAGCTTTCAGCCTTCAGAGATAGAGCTGTTATCTTTGTCATGCCCTCATACTAGAAGTTCTGCCTCACAGGGGAGACTATTAATATATATTCTTATAGTTTTACTAATTTCCTGATCACTAGAAGGCAGTGTATGACTGGTTTGTTCTTATTGGGACTCATCTGACAAATATATTGTTAACCTTAGATCCTACATGCTTCAAATCTCTCTATTGGGAATTGAACTCTTGGGTGCATTGTGCCTTATAAAGTGTCTCGCTTTACGACTTATGACAGCCCTTATTTTCAAAGTCTGTTGTGGTGGTCAAGTCATTTCAGCAATATATACTGAAATAAGTTCCCCCCAGGATGATGGAGTCATGGAATCTTTAGCATGAAGACATAGCAAAAATAATAGTTCTATTTTTTTATTCAGAGAGATCAAGTAAGGTGGTTGTATCTCATTCATTGATTGTCCATATACTGTAATTCCCTTTCTACAAATTTTGACAAATAAGGCTGTTGTAGCTGATAAACCTAGGTGTATTTTATAAGAATAAGAATTTAATTTCCAGTAGACAATGTGAAACTTCTGAGGTCTAATATTAATTATAAATGCTAAGTCCCAATAAAAAGGTAACTGATCATACATTGCTTCCTGGTAGTCAAGTAATGTGTAAAACCACAGGAATATATATATTCAATAAGTGGGGAATCTTATCCTAGGGCTGGTAATATAAGACATTTCCAGAAGGGTTCACTCTTCCTCAGCTTTGTCCTCAATGCTCAGAAATTTATGGCATCCCTGACACTGCAGTCTATCAGATGGCTAGTGAACCTGCAACCTGGAGCCTTTCTTTTCAGTTTTGTGTGTTCCACTGGAGCAGGGTAATGTTTTAGCTTGGATGTTCTAGGCATGAATGGATAATCAGAGTCAACATAAGAATATATTTTTATCTCATCTAACATGCTGTCACATCTCAGTGTCATTCTTACTTTTTGGTGCTCTATTCTTCTTTCCTAAGAAAATCCAACCTTCTACTTTTCCAGATGTGTAATTCCGCCCAAATAAATAAAACAAAAGAGTTACCATCAGCTCTTACTAGGATTTGAAAGAGTAAGCCAAATAGCTATCCAAAGAGTGAAGACTACTTATACACAATTGTTCTTGAAAGAACTGTGGACCTCAGCCAGAGTCATTTAGGTATTCTATGACTTGCAAGTCTATGCACACTGGGTTGATCCCCCTCTCTGCTCCATTTATTATTGCTACTCTGTACATCATGTTCAGTCTTGGCAAGAAGCAACATTTGTCAATTCTGCTTCCCAAGGACAGTGATTTTAAGTTGGCAGAAAAGGCTATAATACTTATGCCAAATTGGAGGAAAAGAGGAAAAATTCAATAGAGATAAGCTTCTTAAGCGTCTGTCACTAGTGACACATAAAATTCTACTTTCAATTGCAATGACATATCAGGATCAAAGTCCCAGATAACAAGCGAGAAAAACCTTTGTCTCATTCTCCTTCCTCCCTGCAGTCTGAGAGGATCTGAGAATCCCTTGACTGGTTCCATTTTAGAACCATATTTAAATACTGTAGATCAGGAGTGTCAAACTCGATTTTATCGAGGGCCACATCAGGGTTGTGTTTGACCTAGGGTGGGTGGGTGGCCATGGTGGGTGAGTGTGGCCAGCTCAACATCACTCATGTGGGGGCACCACTGGTGGCCAAGTGCTAAGGCAGGACTTCCCTCAGACCCTCTCTCACTCTCATTATAATCTCCTTCCTTCCTTCCTCTCTTCTCTTCTTTTTCCTTCACTCTTCATTCTCCTTTCTTCTTCCTCTTTCCTTCTTTTTCCTTCCTTGCTCTCTTCCCATCTTTCCTTCTTTTTCTTTGTCTTTCCTCTTTCCCTTTCTCTTTCCCTGTCCCTTCTTGGATGCTCAAATGCAAAAGGGGAAAAATTTCTCGTTTTGTTTTGCTTTTAGTTTGTTTTGCTAGCCCTCTACAGTGAAAACGAGGAGCCTCTGCTGGCAAAAACAGAGCCTGGGAGGGCTGTGTGTGGCCGTCACAGGCTCAGTTTTCAGCCACGACAGCCTCCTGCAGCCCTTCAGGCTCCATTTTCTCTGGCAGAGGGCTGGAGGCCATCGTGGCCAAAAACAGAGCCTAGAGGGCCATGGGCAATCCTCCCGGGTTCCATTTTCTCTGTCAGAAGCACCTCGGGCCGGTCATTCCCTGTTTCTAGGGCAGCCCTGCGGGCCAGATCTAAACACCCCGCAGGCTAGATCCAACCTGCGGCCCTTGAGTTTGACACCCCTGCTGTAGATCATTCTGTTCAACCACTTATTTCTGCTAAGTATGCTTAAAAATAATGCTCAAGGGCTGATCTTTCTGCTCATTCTTACAACATCCATCTTGGTATCTTTGTGATGTTCATAATTGGTGTAAGAACTGTACGATATTTGTTATACTACAGGAATATTACTGTTGATGATCATAACATTTTTGTGGGTTTATCTAATCAAATAGCTATTGCTACAAATCCTTTTAAATTGGTATACTTACGTTTTGGGGAGTGCATTCTATTAAATATTATAGAATGCATATATTTGCCACATATGTTGTTGATCCAGTCCTATGTATTTTTAGTTTTTAGTTAGAAATAAATTTAGCTGAACTCAATATAGTTATTATAAACTGCATATGCTCATTTAATTTCAGAAGGGAAAATAGTTTTCCAATATTGTAATCTTTATAAATCTTCACAACATATCTTCTCAAACTACTTCTAATATTTCAAACTATTGTTTTCATTATAATTTCTATATAGCCCATCTAAAGACTAGATTTCTAACTGACCTAATTGTGTTGATGAAAATGTCACTGACTAGCTTGGTAAAATTGTATTAATCTGGAACATTTATGATTTGGTTCTGTTTGCTTAACATGTTTTATCACAGCAACTGGAGTTATTCAGTAAATAGTAGCACTTAATTGAACACATTTTCATGATGTATGAATAATTATTTTAAGTATAGATATACTTTTTCAATAACAGCCAAATTCTATTTAATGTTATATTGCTTTTCTCTAATGAGTATGAGATCCATAATCTGAGCAAAGAAGCTTCAAATTTTAGCTTTGTTTTCATTTTCAGCCCAGTGAAAGCCAAGGCCTAATGCAAACCAAATTGTGTAAATCCAGCCTGGATGATGTTTATTGAACCCTATACCAAAAAAAGTGGGAAAAATCATTTCTAGTTGGTATGATATAATCTAGTTAATTTCTTTCTTATAAATTTCCATGAAATTTAAACTTACTAAAGTTACTTTGCATTATATAATGTTTAATTTGCATTGCATCACAGAACAGCTTTAGGATACTTTTGTTTTCATATTGTTTCTTACAATCCTTGGCACAGTGTCAACAAATCAGCAATACCAAAACACTTTGAGTCATGACATAACAAAGAACACATATTAATATCATTTTTTTTTAAATGCAAGCAAAATTAACTGCAATGCAGTTGTCATTCTTCCGAGTACCTTCCTGACAAATTTCTCCAAGGAATTTTCTCTATTGGGCTGTTTCTCCTTGACAATGACACAGAAAACCTGCGTTACATTGTACCGATAGTCCCATATTTCACAAATGACTCCCGTGTACTGTACAGATTTCACGCGCCCCTTCCAACTTCTTGAAAGCAGGAATGGCGACCCCGATGCACATCCTGCCAATCCCAGCACTGCCCAAAGCGGCCGAGCATTTTGTGCCCCTCCCCACCCGCCCCATTCAATCACAATCGCTTTGCAAACTGGCAAAACCTCTCCCATTCTCTCCCGCCTCTCTCCTGTCCTTCAAAAACCGCTTGAGATAAGCACCAATGGGAAAATTCGCTGCGGTGACCTCTGGCCAATGAGGTAAAAGTGACAAATCAGTCGCCAGGCGGTTTTGGGGCAGCAGGCCCAATCGGCACGATCTGCCACTCCTGCGCAGAGGGAGGCGGCGACAGTGAGGACAACCGAGAGAGGAGGCCGAACCGGCGGGAGAGGCCGAGCGGGTCAGCTCGTAGTTCTTGCAAGATCCGGGATGCCCTACAAGCTGAAAAAAGAGAAGGTGAGGGGAGCAAGCGGGTAGGCCTGGAAGGTGCTCTGGTAGGAAGACGGAAACGCCGTAGTGCAAAAAAAAACACGTCCAGGCCTGCCAAAGACCGAATTCGGGGCCTCCGCCGGGAGAGGAGCCTCCCCACCCGCGCGCTGGCAGGGCGGGTACCGGGAGCTGCTGCAGCACTTTTATTTGCAAAGACTCACAGCAGCCCTTTCGGGCGACGCAGGATCCGCGTCGTGCAACAGTTCCGGGAAGCGATCGAGGCACACCTGCGTGCAAGCAGACCTGGGTTTGCCACACATACAAACGTCGCCCGGCGCGCTCATATTGACACGCACGGTGCAGACAATGCAGTTTAGATTACCTTCTGGCCAGGGCCTTTGGCGGTGGGGTTTGTAGCGTTTGGGGCGTTTAGACGAGAAAGCCGGCTTACGGGCGCCGCTCTCGCAGGGATCTCCAAAAGAGGAAAGGCGGATGGATCGAAGTTGTGCGTTTCAGTGGCCTGTTCGTAAATAAAAGGACTGTGGATGAATGTACCTGCATCGCGGAATGGGAAATGCCGGTGCTCGTACGATTACAGCTCAAGATTTAAGATGTGCAAAAGCAGCGGCGGGGTGGGGGAGACGACTGCACGATGCATAGACAATTGCGGAGGTGGGGAAGAGAGAGAGAAGGAGGGTTGGTTGCAGAAACAGGAGAGAGGATTTAGTTGAGATGTTACAATACGGAAGATCATGTTACAAAAAGTGAAAAAAAATGCACATTCTTACTTTGATAGTAGAGATTTTTAAATATGCGAGTAGTTGCTCTGTTCTCTTTGTTAGGCGTGTATCCACTGATCTTCCACCTTCATGCAGATTTTTGCATGAGATGGACACTGTGACATAGATAGGCCTTGCATACATCTGTATGGAAGATACCATAGGTAGGCTTAAAGAGACTCTGCCCTCTTATCCAGCATTACACTTACTTAGGAAGTTGTAGAACACATTGGAGCTATTGTTGCCATTCTTACTAGATTGTGCAGTGCCTAAGATAAATATAGACAAAACTGTGTACTTGTTCCAAAAACATTGCTAAGTAAGGAGCTGGAGATTAAGCAAATTCAAGGGATGAGCATGAGCAGGCTGACATAATTATCTAATGGTGCATGTACTTGACTAGTATACAAACAATACAAGTGTGTGGACATGCTTAAGTTTGTATGTTTGAGAAAGGAGCACTTTGAACAAATGGTATTAATAGTATTTTGTGTCAGTAAATATTTTGTATGCCATATATGCAGATGCAAAACACATTGTGTAGATGCTGAGGATACTGGTACAAGTGGACCTTGAGTTAGGATCACAGTTAGGACCTGAACTTCCATCACAAAACAATGTGGTCATTAAGCGAATCTGTCATCCCTCCTAACTTTGCTTGTTGGAAACCCCTGGGAAGGTTGCAGATAACGATCATGCGACCTTAGGATGCTGCAGCTGTCATAAATATATGCTGATTGCCAAGTGCTTGAATTTTGTTATGTGACCATGAGGATGCTCCAATGATCATAAATGTAACTCACTTTTTTCAGTGCTCTCATAATTTTGAATGGTTGTTAAATAAATGGTTGTAAGTTGAGGAGTACCTGTAGATTTTAAATGGGCACATCTACAAAATCCTGTAATTGACATTACTTATACAGTTGTGTACAGTTGCAAGTAGATGGTAGGCTTTGTTTCTCTAGGTTGCAGAAATCTGCAAAAAGTACATCAGGAAGACTCAGAGTATAAGCACAGATCTGATCAAATAATAAAAAGGGCACACTAATAAAGAACATTAGTGGAATGCAAGTTAATATATGTGTAAAGTTCATGAATGCATATATAGCACATGGCAGAAATACATTGATCAATTGCAGAGAAGAGGTAGCCCTTGTAGAGTATATTATCATACTAAGTCTAAGATTGAGAAATATGGCATGTCCAGTAATGGGAAATGATCATGCTTTCCTTGCAGATTTCAGGTTCATGTCTAAGTACAATAGTTCTGTCTAGAGCTAACAATAGTGCTGTCTAGGTTGTAAAAATCTGGATGTGTCCTAGATAGGAACAAATATGTTTTTGTATTATCTAGAGGTCAACTGTGTTTTTGTATTCCAGCTGAGAAAGATAGGTTTTTAAAACCTGGAAAACTGCATCTTAGCAATGTAAAAGAGACTATTTTAAGCTACAGGCATCAACAGTTTGAGATGGCAAAAAATTGCTTGCTTCAACTTCCCATATACTTTTATTTAACATTGTATATAAAACATTTTAAATTCAAACTTACCTGACATCATTGAAAGTGCTTTGAGTGCTAAATGGCCAATTTTAACTTCAAAGTAGGTTGGAACAGTTCTGGTAGGATTGGAAAAGCTTGTTTCAAACTTCAAACAGGTATTTCGAGCTTAATACATTTTGCATGTATTTAGTCTTGACACATTTACTTTTAGTCTTGACACATTTTTACAACTATGCTCAGTTGATTTCAGCAAGGCTTTTGTCTGAGAAGACATCTGTAGGACTAATCTGCTAGTATATTGTGTGTGTTCTGGGGTTTTCTTTCTCCTACATCTTATATTTTTCCTCTTTTAAATACGTTTCTAAATATCAATTTTGTAAGCTTTTGCACACTCCTAACATAATTTGGATGCATCCTATTAGAGAAGAAGAATGATGGAAGACTAATTTGAACTAAGGAAAAAAAGACACAATTCATAGCACCTGAATAACATACATTTAATCCACCAATGGGTTATTTTGTAGTCTGCAAGGTGAAACACAATATTCAAAATTTTTGAACAAAAGACAGTAACGTTTCTTGTAGTATACATTATTAGAATTGTGCTGTTGCCATAAGTGACAGATTTTTTTAAAAAGTCATTAAAAAAACCCCAGTACTGTACATCTGACAATGTGTTTTGAATACTTGGAGGGTAGGTGGAAACTTTTTTGCCTTTGTTTGGAATGATGATAGTTATACTTTGCTTTTTTCTTGTCATAAAAGTAGAAGTATGTCAGTTCTAGTTTCTCTATCTCCACAACAACCAGTATTACCAATTCAGTTTATGCTATTACAGTTTTCATTGCATTGCTCTCTTTGGTAGCAAAACCTATCAAATCTCTTCTGGCAATAAGTTTAACAGATTTATTATGGACTACATTTTTGTAGATTGTAGTTTACTTCAGAATATGCAACTGTTATGTACCTTGTGGGGTTTAGAGGTGACCAAACTTGATAAATAATGTTGATCTTTAAACCACCACAAATTTCTCTCTCTCTTAATTTTTGCTGTCTAGGAAAATACAACTATCCCACTGAAAATATCAATTAGATTCACTTGTCTTGGCAGAGCCCAGCAGAGACTCAACAGTTTAGTTTAAAACAACAGTCAAACAGGCACTTTTGCAGGGTGGGGTAGAGGGAAGGGCTTAACAAAATTGGGTGACCATTCTAAAAGGAAAAAAATAAATCATTCTGGGGAACTGCCTCAACAGTGGTTTGCTTTGCACAGATCTTTCTCCTATGCTAGGGAAAGGATTTCAATTTGCATGAGCTTCTGCAATATGGTACAGTATAGCAGTTTTGTTTATAGGAAAGTGTCTGTTTTGCACTTGCATTGTACCTACCTTGAGGACAGTTTTGTGGATCACTGCATCTAAATATGCTTGGCTAGTTCTGCATTTATATCTTTCATTTCTTTTGCCTTTCTTCTAGGAGCCTCCAAAATCTACTAAAAGCACTACAAAGGCCAGCAGCAGCAGTGGAAAGGATGGAGGTAATGCAACAGAGAATTCAGAAGAGGTAATGGATTGAATTAATGTTTTTTTTTTTAACTTTCTAGGTTTATTTTCTGAGTACTGCAATTTCACTTTCTTATTTAAGGATAAACCATGTTTGTTAAGCTAAAATTTGAGAGAATTTGGCTATAATTCCATAGCATACTTGCCTGTGGTTAAGGTAATTGTAGATGCTTGTAACATTTTTTTCAGTTTATATTACATTCTGAACAATAAACTAATCACATTGGCTCAGTTTGTACAAGACACTAAAAAAGTAGTAGGTTCCACTTACCTTTGCTACCGGTTCGGAACTGTGAGTACAGAACCTTCTGCGCATGTGCAGTGTGTCTGTGATGACGTCTGGGTGGGTGAGTGGAGCCTCCCACCGTCGGCACTATCGATTCGCCCGAACCAGGGCAAACCGATAGAAACCCACCACTGCACTAAAGGACACATGGTCACATGTGTTGTACAAATCCAGCCTCTGATTATTGAGAGAGGTTCTAACCTACTTCCCCCTACATTAATGCTGTTTAGAATTGCTTGATTACAATTCCCATAATCCCCAGTTTGCTGGGTATTACAAAAATTTGTGTCCGTTAGAGCTCGAGTACACGGTATGGAGAAAAGAAAGCCAACAAAGAGACTTCTAATAAACAACTATCCTAAATTCTCAATCTGGTTATAGAATCAAGCTTTGGATAACTTGTAGCCTTTGGCCTAAATTACCGAGTGGTTCGCAAGCAGATAGTTCAGATCCCTACTTTCTCTCTTTTAGCAGCATATTTAAGTATTCGGGTGGGGGGCGGAGTGGGCTGAAAAGGATACAGAAGAGTTGGCTAAGAGGTATTTCATCCACTTTTGGCATTATTGTATTTAGCATGCCACTCTTTAAGGGAAAATAATTTCCCATCTCTTTTTAGGATTGAACTTTGGTTATACTGGAGATATGAGCCACACAGATACTATGTAAAAAAATTTTTTTAATCTTAAAGACATAAACATTCAAGTACTAGAGTCTGCTTTATCAGATGTATAAAAATGCCTTCACATAGTCCTGGGTACATTGGCAAATTCCAGGAAAAGTGTGGCCAAACCATGCTAAATACTGTACTTTTCTCTTAATGCAGCAGATCAGTTAGGTCAAAAATAAGCTTCAATAATTTTTTAAAAAATTTGGATGGAAGAAGGAAATTGTTAGATGCATCATCGAAGAATTACCATTTTAACTACATTTAATTTCAGTTGATTTTAAATATAAATAAAATAAATTTTAGCTTCTATCTTAGCCACCTACTCTTCATGTTGAGTGGCAGTAGAGCTGTATAGACAGTATGGCTGTATCCTGGATTGATTATTGTTTTTAATTAAAGCGAAGAATGAGTCCAGTTTTCAAATAGCCAGGCATTGTTTTAATGTTGTTTAATATTTTAATGCTGGTTATAGAAGTAAGGTTTTACTGCATGACATACAAACATACGCTAAACAGTTGGGAACATTCTGTATAACTAATAAGCTTTAAACTGGAACTTTAAGAACATTGTAAAAGAAAAATGATATATTGAATATGAATATAAAACTGGCTCTATTTAACATATTATATCTAGATCATATAGAAACATATTACTCCAATTTTTGTCATTTTTAGAAAATAAAGACAATTAAACAATAGATAAAGAGCACTTTTTTTTCTACATAATTTTGTTTGCCAAACCCCAGGTTTGATAAAGTCAGACTTTTTCATTAGATGTTAAATACCATATTTTTAAATACTGTATAATTCAACTTTATATACTTAACCTACTGCTATGATTGCTTTATGGTAATACATATAAGGGTAAGTGTAATGAAGTGTCATAATTGCACATTGCACCTCATAAAATTACGGTATTTTCTGTTATTTGTCTTGATTATATCTTTGATTGTTATTGAGACACAGGTATTCAGATAGGAGTTGCACCCATTATTTTCTGCAACTAGAGGTTCATTGTTTCTGGTATAGAATATTTAAAGTTTTCAGATCTGTCCTCCAGAACTGTTTATTTGGATGAAATCTGTAATATTTCATAGTTAAAGTTTGGGTTATGGGGTGTAATCTTGCTTGCATGTTCTCATCTCAAAGCAATGATTGGAGCAGAAATGGAGGTACTTGTTTATAGGCAATTTACATGAAGAAAAAAATAAGATTCAATCTATGTGAACTATGCACAGTTCAAAACATTAGAACCACTTTATTTTCTACATTCTCTCAACTTTATTTTTTACATTCTGTCCAGTTCTTCCTTCAGGCCCTGTTTCTCATACTGTTACTTGGAATCACTACATCTATCACTCCACTATTTTTTGGTTGATTGGCCAATACCTGCTTCTCTGCTGGATCTGGAAATCCCATAGAATCTTAACTTTCTTATTTCCCATAATCATTTGTGGGATCTTCCATTTAGATTTGGGAAAGCCCATATTCTGTACAGATATTCCTGTATACAATGCCAGCTACTTGATTATGCTGTTCAGTGTATGCTGTTCCTGCCTGCATCTTACACCCTGCTACTGTGTGTTGAACTATCTCTGGGGCTTGTCTGTGCATCCTGCATCTTGGGTCCTGTGGACCCCTGCTTCTATGGACCTGGTGCTTAGTGCTATTCTTGTGCTATAATCAGTGCCTCAGTGCTGTCTTTTAGTCCAGCCTTTTCCAGCCACTGGTAGGATTTCCCAATGTCTGCCACCTCAGTTATCTGTCGATGGTACATCCCATGCAGGGTCTTATCTTGCCATGGCACTTCTGCTTGATCTTCGTCCCACATCTGCTGTTGCCTCAGGCATTCTCTCAGCAGCTCATCTTTGGGTGCCATCTTACTGATGTAGTCCTGCGTGCTCTGGGTCTCATCTGTGACTGTGGCTTCGGCACTCACCAAATGGTGAGTGTGTGTATATGTGTGTGTGTGTGTCTTGTGTGTAAAGAAGACACAAATTTTTCCAAAATGAAAATTATTCAAGGAATAAAAGCTGCAACTGTACATACAGTCATAAAAGGTGGATCAATATAATGGTAATCTCAGAATGCTTTGAGTTTAGTGCTTTTTTGAAGATAATAATGATAAGTTCAGAAGGGTACATGTGGCAGAGTAAACATATAACTTGTTAGTGCATGAAATTGATCCTGCTGATAAACAGCAGCCAATGTTTGAAAATGTTTGGAATAATTTTCTTCCATTGCTATTGGAATATATATATCATGTTTCCCCGAAAAGAAGACCCTGTCTTATATTTTTTTGAACCCTGAAATAAGCGCTTGGCCTTATTGCCATGTGCTCAAAAGCCCAATTGGTCTTATTATCAGGGGATGTCTTATTTTGGGGGAAATAGGGTATATACTTGTGACTTTGTTTGGCTAACTGCCAAAAATAGCACCAGCAAGTAAAGAAAGACTGAAAAAGTAATTCTAGGGCAGCCTTCACCAACTTACTTCCTCAGGTATGTTTGAAGACTCTAGAATTCCCAGCTAGCATGGCTGCTGGTTCCGAGAAGTGGTAAGGAAAGCAACAAAGGCAGAGCAGTAGCTGAGGTAGAGATGAAAAATGCAATTAGCTCTGTGTGGCTTGAGGAGGCTTTTGTTGGACACTAATGCATGCTTGCTTTATGTAGCTATCAGCCCTTACAAGAAAACTGTACAGGAAACAGGACAATATGAGCTAATTCTATCTTCTTGTAAGGCTACATTGCAAGTCTGAAGGCACAAACTTCCTGCCTTCACTTTTTACTGTTTGAACCATTAGAGTGGATATTTTCTTTTTTTTTTCTCTTACTGTTAAGTGACTGCAAGCTCCTGCCTCTCTCAACAGAATATTTCTTAGGCAGCCTCTTTTTTCTCACTCCCTAAGGTCATTCATACATTTCATTACATCAGTACTTGGTGTAGTTTGTTTATTCATAATTTGTTCATTAATCTGAAATTCACTATGTTCATGCTGCATTCTAAATTTTTAAGTCATTGTTCACAAGCTAAGTGTATGGGATTGAATAACACACTAAACCAAAAACAAACCAGCTACCTGTTGGTTTAGTGAGATATATAAGCCTAACAAGTTACACAGTGTAGTACTATCCGGATACTACCTTATATTTAAAAAAAACAAAATACTTCCCTGTACTTTCAAAGCATATAGTGGGGAAGGCTAGGCTAGGGTCTTATTTCTTTGCCATGACCTTTCTGTTGATAAATAATTGTTGACTGCTTTGCATTGACTTCTGGGTAGATCAACCCTGGGAGACTCATTTGTTTTTAGAGTAAGTACAGCTAAGGAAAGTTTTCAGAGCAGAAAAGAAAGTTTGGCTTTTAAATACAGGTATAAAAAGAACAGTGGATAAAGGCCGAAAGGCACAAGTAAGGACAAATGTTGAAAAGAAAGTCAAGAGAGCAAAGGCAACTTCAGAGCCAATATTAATAACAAGGCTTTGTTTGTCCTGGACCCCATAAGTGAGAGCAGCATGCTGCTAAAATGTAAAGAGTTAGAAGAAGGAATCCAGTCTCTGCCAGAAGAACAACCATTTCTTACTCATCTGTCAACTTCTGCATTCACAGTGCAGTTTTTATTTAATTCTTTTATGTGGAACTGGGAATCTTCAACATTACATTGTACCTCCTTTCCTCAGCATTGTACAGCAAAGAATATACTCAAACAGGAGTGCTGATTATGTTTTATTTCTTTTTCAGTTAAAAAAAATAGTTCCATTTTCATAAGTTAGGTATGAAGATGGCATAGGAAATACCCTCCCATATAAAAATGATTGAAGAATACTCTACCCTCTTTACCTGATTAAATTGGGCAGCTTGTGGCCCAAAAGGTATTTGTAATCTTCTGTCTAATTTTCAATGGCTTCTGTAAGAGATCGGTTTGAAGTTTCTTAGAACTATTTCTCCCTTCCCTGAAATCTGCTGTTTAGAAGTGATAGAAGAAAGTAAATAAAATTCTATAGCTATCTTAATTCCTTCCAGCTGCATCATTACAGAATCATGGAACT